ATGGCCGGGCTCGTCCTGGATACCACGGCGTCACAGAAGACCGAGGTGACGAGGAAGTATTATCCTTTCGCGTTTCGTCTGATTAGTGAGGTAACCGGGCCCATTTACAAAATGGTTGGCATCGTCATCCCCTCACGTGTTGATGTCTGTGGGTGACAATAAACACGTAAAACCATGTGAAGCGCCGTTTTTCTTGCCAACTTTTCTCATAAATAAAAACCTGGAAGTGAACCTTTGAGCACATTCCCAATTGTGGAACAAATCACAATTGTAAATGTGTAAGTAGAATTTGAGCTTGGACATTCATTATTTAGAATTGCTTTATTGGTAAGGATAATGGAGTTAACCTTTAACTGTGGTAGGGCCACGTAACATTCTACGCTGTTACTCGAATGGGCAGGCCTGTCCGGGTGAGCACCACTACCTCACAGGTGTGAAGTGGAAGTGTTATACTTCTGTTTTCGTCTGGCGAGTGAGGTACCCCGGACCCAGTTTATTAAAAGCTGGCAGCACATCTGCAAACCTACGGGTGTAGCATGTATGGGCGGAATATACCATGGGCGGCGGTTATCCCTTGACATCAGGTGGCGCACCAGCTTGCGTACCATCTTCTAACATAAATAAATAAATTAATTAAAAAGAACATTATTCTAGAGCAGTCCGGCCCTGGGTTCAGCCGGTTAAATCCGGCTTTAATTTAATCTAACGACAGAAAGCGGCGCAGTTAACTGGGGCAAATGTACGGGTCGTAAGGGGGATTTGATGTTAAAACTACTTCATCTACTTGTCACTTATAACGGCAACAACCGTTTAGAGAGGGGGGGGGGGGAGGGGGGTTCCGGTTAAATCACTCACCGTACTATACGCAAAGGTATATAATCACTTGTTCGGTCTTCTGCGAGGTATTAATAAATTTAGCTGTTTGTGTTCTACTACGAGGTAGTTGCGGTTCTGTAATTTCGTAAATGTTGTCGGGCGAACACAATTTATGGGTATCGGAGGATGAATAATATAATATACTGGGGTATGCGGTATTGTCGTCTCGTTGGCGCCATAGTCCAAAAACGCAGTCTATCTCGCTCCCATTACACGCTTCTGTATTGTTGCGAACGAGCGCATGTATTATTACACATACTTTAATATTGCTTCCTACTTACTTTAATATTAAACATACATATTTTAGATGTATATTATAGATACATTATTGCTAGTGGGGAACGAACCCACACCCTCCGGGGCATGAGACAGGTTCACTATTCACAACGCCAACTGGGTCAGTCGGTTTTGTGAACAATATAATAATTGAATAAGTCGAAACTCACGTTGGCATCTCTACTCGAGTGCAGCATTCGCCATCTCTTTCCCACAGTTCAGACACGCGTGAGCCTGTATTGCTGTATATTGTACATTATAATATTATTTAGGTCGAGTGAAGATGATTTTAATCACCTTCGCTCGGCTTATCTGATAAGTGCCGGTGCCAAGGGGTTTCTCACTGTACAAAAGATTTAGACAATATATAATATACAGATGCATATTTAAGTATGTATTTATTTATTTGTTTAAAAAAGACAACAGCAGTACACCCGTTCAACGTTTAATGAAAAAAAATGTTGTTAAATTCAATAGATGAGGTGACACATTGTTACAGATAGTTACTAGAATGAACATAATAGGGTATAAATGCAAAAATATTTAAAAACAATAAAAAGTAATAAAAATATGAACTGTTCTTCTATGTTTATAGCAGATACGTTTCCCTTACGATGTTTCTACCATAATATATCAAGTGCTTAACTGATTCTGCTTTCTAGTGTGTGGTGAAATACATACGGATTACCGTATATTAAACATGTTCAATATACGGTAATCAGTAATAATAATACAGCGTGTCGTTACAATCACGATATTAAATTAACACACGTCTAATGCTACTTGCCAATAATCATAAAAAAATATTAATTTAAAAAAAATCGATGATTAAAAAAAATATTTTTCAAACTTATTAAGTAAAAAAGAAACAAAATGTATAACATCCTATACAACTACAACTGACTGATTCATACATTCAGAGACTTTTTGATAAGTTGCCACAGCGTCGCATTACAAGCCTCTCCTTCTAACAGTATGTTTTGTCTCTTTTAAATTCATTCAACCCATTCATATGCTTTGTGACCTTTACAAATGAACTTGACGTTACAGTTTTATACGTAAGGGTGTTCTAAAATTATTTGTTTTGTTAATAACTCGGTAAATATTGATGCTTAAAGAATGTAAATGTTTAATACAATTTTAATAAGTTATCCTCTATATGTGTGTTCATTTATTGTCGCGATTGTAAAGACACGCTGTATAGTAATCTCTCATAAGCGAGTGCTTGTGACGTGTAATTTTTTTATGTGAAAAGTTGCCACGAGAGCAGACGGTTCTCCTGATGTGAAGTGAATATCGCCACCCGTGCACATCTGCTACACCCGAGGGTTCCAGTTGCGCTGACAGCCTTTTGAAAATTGGGCTCCGGCCACCTCACTCACCGATTATGATACCGATTATGCGAAAGTATTATACTTCTACTTTACGTCGGTCTTCTGTGAGGTCTTGGTACTTACCCGGAAGAGCCTGACCATTCTTTCAACAGCCGAGACTGCTGCGTGGCCCTACCACCGATATTTTTATAATAATACGTGAAGCAAAACCTTTTCACCTTTTTTCAAACTTTTGTAATTTGAAATTTTACAGTGAAACAGTTTGTATAGAGAAGGAGAGCTAAATGCTAATATTTTTTTTAAATATGGATAAAAACATTTTAAAAAAGCATTACACACACTACCATGTACAACTAGAATCTTTAATTACTTTATCACGTTGCCTACTGACTAGGTGGTGTTTGTGTGTACGATCTACGGACCGGCGGAAAAACTGTTTACATCATAGTGATTCTTAGTCTGGATGTATATTATGTCTGGCGTTTTAAGTTTGTAAAAACCATCACAGTGCCGTAGTGGTTTTGAGAACAGCAATAAGGAAAACAGCAATTATTAAACTTATTTGTTAAACTATTTTAGTATTTCACCAGATTCCTCACAAGGATGGTTTGCAAGTACATCAAAACCAATATACAGGATGATTATTTAGACGAAGTACATTCTTTGAAATAATGTTAATTGAGCGTTCTATAATTCAAAAAAAAATTTATTTTGACAAGAAATAACCAGAAAAATATCAATTCAAACATTGATCGTTTATTCCGTTAAGAAACAAATCACCCTGTATTGTAAGATTAGGACTCAAGACATTCTGCCGTATCCCCATGTAGTAAACACCGGGGAAAACAGGTCTCGGTAAAATACATAAAATAATTTCGTTTAACGACAACACTGCATATTCTTTAACTCAGCAGTAGCAACACCAAACGGTTATAGCATTTAGCCTGATCGTTTCAGCGTCATCCAATTAGCAGCCGCCATAATTCAATTACCCGCCGGGCACCAATTACCTTGGCGCTACCTTCTTTAGACTACTTCTGGGCTTATAACATAAAGGCTCAAGAGTAAGATTCGAACATTACTGAAAAGATTTCAGAGCTGAAATCTACTCTAGTTTGAAATTTTAATGGAATAATAGGGGAGCATATTTTTCATAATGTATGAATACGTAATAAATCTATAATAATCATATCGTCATCATCATCATAGATTATCCTCCTGCCTTTATCCCAACCTAGGTGGGGTTGGGACAACATGTGAACTATTGCGACGATTTCGGCTAAGTTTTTTACGACCGCCCGTTTGTCTGACGTCAACCCTCCTTGGGAGCAACACCCAGATCCTGAACAATTACACACGTATACTTGACCCGTGTGGGAATCAAACCCACGACCTCCGGCACAAAATAATAAGTCTATAATAAAACCGTTGAAAAACTTTAAAGTTAAACGGTTTTATTTTATGTGCACTGAAAACTACAATATTGTATTGTCATCTAAATTAAATGTGTGTACCAAATTTCAGATCAATCTGACAACGGGAAGGTGCTTAAATTTCAATTTCTAATTTTGACCCAAATAAACAAATAAATTCCGTACGGGTCGAGCTAAATAAAACCGTTTAATAATAACAATTGATAAATCATTGAACGATGACTGACGTCCGTATCGTGAGTCTCTAATATATATACAAAGGATCCTTCGCTTAACATGATAATAAAACACACAAATAAAGTGACGAAGTTATCGGACCATAAATTATCTTTATAGGTAAAGAGAATAATAATATAAGAAATACTGTTTATTCGATTGGGAAATTTTTGCAGTCATCGATGTCATTCTAACAAAGTCTCATGGCAAATTCAAGTTGTATAAATGTCGATGCGACTCGTAGTCGCCCCTAGGATCAGCTATAACGGCCACAAGGTCACGGTCACGGAAAAAGCCGATACACGCTTAAATAAGCAAAGCATTACGATCTGCATAAATATGTAGTAATTCCTACACATGTATGTACGATACCTACATATATATGATACAATATGTATTGACAAACACACAACCTGCCACCCAGAAGGATAACAGAGGGCACATCTTTTAACTTGGTTGTGTAGGTCTTGGGAAAAGGTTTATCGTAAAGTAGTAATGTAGTGCATTTTAGACTTGGCAATGTTATGGTTAGAATACAAGGTGTCACCGTTCAATAAAGTGGGTCCCGGTTACCTCACTCATCAGACAAAACGCAGAAGTATGAAACCACTTCACGCTGGTCTTCTGTGAGGAAGTTAACCCGGAAGGACCTGCCGATTCGTGCAACAGCGAAGACCGCTGCGTGGCTCTACCACATTTCAGTAGAACGTTGATTAAATAAACAGGCAGGATGGCTTATGTGTATATACCCTGGCTGTTTATTTTCACACTCAATTCGACCATCATAAAGCAGGTTACACTACGAACCAAACACCAGGGCATAATGAGTCTTATGTACTTAAGGTGCAAACGCTGAAATTATCACCTGGAACGCGAACACCACGTATCCCGTGAGGTGTGACTCGTGCAGCACGTCGTGTATTGACCGCAGCGTGGAGCCGAGGTACACGTTGATGACCTGGGCGGGCAGCAGGCCCAGCAACGTCGCCAGGTGGTACCCGCACCCCCCAACGTCGCTCACCTGCCAACAAAAGCAGCCTAAAATCTCACAAGTATTACAAAATTAACACCACGTCAAAGTAAAAATCTGTACTATTAACGGAGAGCCGTTTTTTTTTCAATTCTACTGCGAAAACTACTGAACCTATCGGAATAATACTTATACCATAAGACGCAGCGTGTTTCGGAGAAGGTTGAGTGATCTGGAACCCATATTTTTTGACTTAACGAAGATGGTATGAACCAACGAAGCGAGCGAATTATAGCTAGTATACTTATAACTAAATTTGCATATCTTACATGGTATAAAATAAATGGTGCAAATAAATTGTCGGACCACTAGTTTAATCATAAAAATATCATCGTCATTTTTCACGAGGTACCTGTTTTACATTACCGCATATGGAGTTGTCGATCAACCTTTAACCTCTACAACACAACGCAGCAAATATCGAAAAAGGAAAGGATAATAATTCAAAGCGAAACGAGCAAAAAAAATAGATATGATTAGCTTCTTTTATAAATATGTGGATTTGAGCAAATTAAATGGTATATTCTATATTCTTCTATAAATATTAGTATAATAACAATAAGGGGAAAAGATGAAAATATGAAGAAAATCTGTAAAATGCCTTCAATGACATATCATTGGGTTTTTTGCTCTAAAGCAAAACCACAGTTTAAAAATTTTGATCTTAAAGTTCTGCGTGATCATCGTGACATGACTATAAGCATAATATTGAACATGGAAATGCTCACGTCGCCTCAAAAACAAAAGTGCGTGGAATGTCGCCGTGCGATTTTCTACTTCCGCTGAGGACAAGGACTGGGATTTTGTTGATCACTACTAGGAAAAAGATGTTTATATATCCGACGTATACTTCTAAAAAACAAATAATATTTTGAAGATATGTGAAGTCCAATATGCAGTGGGGCCGCGTAGTGGACGATGTCCCTTAATACCCTCTGTACGGAGGAGGCCTTTGCCCAGCATTGGGATATGTATAGGATGTTACTTTCCGTTTTTTTATAATTCTATCTAGAAGCGATTAAAAGAAATGATGTTGGAAATATTAAAGAGAACTTTGACAAAATTCAAAAATTTTCCTCTCGTTATATATTCGTAATGTATGGAAATGGAAAAGAGAACAGGGGAAATCTATAATCTCTACCTACCCCTCTAGTTAACAGGCGTGATTGTTTATTTATAACAAATACAAATTAGTTCAACGCTATCAAAACCTACGAGTAATATAGTTAAATAGCATCTAACCTGTTCATATTCTAGTTCGGGCCAGTTCTACCAGGATATCATAAGCTGTTACAATACATCGAAGAAGATACCGTGTAACGGACGACAAATATTTTTGTTGGTAGAGAAAATTGTATGCTTAGAAATTACGTCAATATTTACTCAAATGACATTCGTCACAAATTTAAATCGACGATAATTTGGGAATTCACTTTACCCTTTTATGCCCATTTTATGTTAATTTTGTACAAGCTTTACTTTATTGAAAGACAAATACATATACAAGTAGAAACATTAAAAGATTTGGCTTTGAACAAAATATTTGAGGGCAGTTCATCAAGCGTTTTACGGTGGAAGGGCCACGCAGCAGCCTCGGCTGTTGCACGAATGGGCACGCTCGGCCGGGTAAGTACCACGACCTCACAGAAGACCGGCGTCAAGTGGAAGTATAATACTTTCGCGTTTCGTCTGGTGAGTGAGGTAGCCGGAGCCCAATTTTCAAAAGGTTATCATCTACAACCCTCGGATGTAGCGGATGTCCATGGGCGGCGGTATTCACTTAACATCAGGTGAACTTTTCACATTAAAAAAAAAGCGTTTTCATGCCAGTTAACTTCATACTTGCAAATGTTTTTTTATTTTCTCATATTATAATGTACACAATATTGCGATATGAATCTGTCTCATGCGCCAGAATGTGTGGGTTCGATTCCCACTTGTGGCAAAATAATGTATCTATAATATTTATGTACTTATGTTTAATATTAAAGTAAGTAGCAATATTAATGTAATAATACATTGTTCTCGGATTTCCTGGTACCCAAAGTCAGAATTATTTATCTGCAAACTATCCAAGCCAAGTATCAGTGGTTAAGACTAACTACAGAGATTTTCGTAGTTCAGGACATATAAATTTCCATCTTTTTAAAACTAAAACGCCTTGTATATTTGTGCTTTGTGTACTGGCGTCAGGCCTAACATGGTCATGTTTATGGACTTAGCAAGCCGCGTTAATTATGAATAGCATTCGCGTAATTTAAATATGTACAAAGGAAATATGGTATTCGTAAAGTAGATTTAGGACCAAGAGTTTATTCATAAAGATGGGTAACTGCTGTCCTAGTAAATTTATTGCTCGGCTACCTCCGAATTATTGATATGTAATGTAGTCTCAAATGGTGAACACAGTGGATCGGCAAAAGCCTATTCAGTCTTGACTCACGATTACATAGCACATTCTAATATTATCGCGCGAGAATCTCCACCAGTTTTGCTTTATCGAATCTTATTAAGCTAGCAGACGTCACACATGTTGCGTAACGTCTTGCAAATTTATTCCGCGAGACCGCGCAAATTGCACGATAACGTTATCAGAATACGGCTTGTTGCAAACGTCTTAAGTAGGTACGTTTAAAAAAATGCTTTAAGCGTTAGTCCTGTGGGTGGATATGCTGTCTACAGTTAAGAACTCAATTGAATCAATTTTCTATTAATGTAATTAATATATAAGCGAGCAGACGGTTCACCTGATGTTAAGTGAATACCGCCGCCCATGGACATCTGCTACACCCGGGGGTACCAGATGTGTTGACAACCTTTTGAAAAATTGGGCTCCGGCCACCCACTCACCAGACGAAACGCGAAAGTATTATACTTCCACTTTACGCCGGTCTTCTGTGAGGTCATGGTACTCACCCAGACGAGCCTGCCCATTCGTGCAACAGCCCAGGCTGCTGCGTGGCCCTACCACCGTATATAATAATATAATCAATCATCACCATTATCCTTCTGCCCTTATCCCACCTAGGTGGGGTCGGCATGTTGTAGATTTATTTGGACCGGCCGTCATTCTTTTTTTATGTTACAAAGTGGCAAACGAGCTGGCGGTTCACCTGACGTTAAATGATAACCGTCGCCCATGGACATTTTCAACGTCCGTAGGGTTGCAGATGTGTTGCCACCTTTTAATAAAGTGGGCCCCGGCTACCTCACTCACCAGACGAAACGCAGAAGTGCAACACTACTACTTCACGCCGGTCTTCTGTGAGGTAGTGGTACTAACCCGGACGGACTTGCCCATTCGTGCAACAGCAGCCCTACCACAGTGGTCTGCCTGACGTCAACTCTCCTAGGGAAAAATCACCCAGATCCGGAACATTATTTCGTCCCGAGTAATTCCCACGACCCTCGGCGCTGAAGCAAGTAGCATTGCAAATGCACCACCGAATCATGTAATCAATCAAAAAAGTAAATTAATTAAAATTCGTTGTCACCTTCTACCGTGACCGTAACATGGCAATGAATGCTGCTAAGTATTCAATATTTAATTTAACCATACTTTCATTTAACACTTTAAAGATACTTATGAAACTCGAATAGCAAACAAAATTAAAAGAAAATAGTTGAAAGCGAGAAAAATCTGCGATAAAATCAGTTTCTTTGGGATCGATCTCTCGATTTGCAGACACATTTTACTCAAAATTTCAGATATACTAATTTTGCACAAAGGTACCCTTTATACTGTGGTAGGATCATCTCAGTCAGTTCATCTGTTAAGTTTTGTGGACACAGAACCACTATATGTGTACACTAGCATCACGCGAGCACAGTAGCTTCGTGCAAAAATAAGCACAATTTCATAACGAAAATCCTGTTTATTTTCCCGTCGTATTAGATATTCGAAATAAAACTGGAACCTTCGAATCCCGATTTCGAATTCGTAGGCGGGCTACGAAACTAAAAATAAATCATAGGCTCTATCGATCTCCACTCGGCTTTGACGATTCAAGTACGTCACAACGTAATTAGGGTTTCGTGACGTTTTTTCACAAATAATCTACGCGAAACGAGACAATCGTAACGCAAAAAAATTCACATATTGCGTTTTCGCTTATGGAAACATGATTACGGTGATGCCGTTAGTATGTTATGCATTATAGGTATTTTTTTTATGTGATAGGGCGGAATACGATCTGGCGGTTCACTAGAATTTAAAACACTCGTAAGGTTGCAGATGCGTTGTCACCATTTAATAAATTAGGCCATGGCTACCTCACTCGCCAGACGAAACGCAGAAGTGTAATACTTCTACTTCACGCCGGTCTTATGTGAGGTCGTGGTACCGGCCACTCGTGCAACAGCGAAGACTGTTGCGTTGACTGCCAAGAACAAACGAAATCACTACTCGATGCATTTTAAATAAAGTAACGTTACTTTTAGACACAACAAAACATCACGGGTTGCCAAAAACTTAAGCATTTCACTATCAACCACTTCTGACAGCGAAATCGCCGGCTACAGAGACAGTAGAGTAATCCGGAGCCGCGAACTAATGACGAAGCGAGCTTTTATGCTTTGCATCCGTGAAAAACAAGCGTCCTTGTTCGATGTTCGTGCTCATGCACAGCTTAATTCAACGAAGATCAAGCTTAGCCAGCAACTTGTCTCCGGACTGAAAGCCGTTCCGTTCCGTTCACACAAAACTCTTCCTCGGTCTCACTTCAAAGAAAAGTGCACGGTACACGCAGTTAATAGATATCTCGCGTTAGTACTCAGTTTTAAAGTAACGATACGTACGTACATACAGTATGAAACTCGCTCGTTGTAAAATACTTAACCTCCCCTTATAAAACGAACAATCCTGGCAACATTTACTAATCGTGCAGCCGAAGAGTCCGCAGTGATTCGAAGCATTGCTCAAAAATAACTGTTAAAGCTATTGAGGCTTGAACCTACGAGTTAGCAAGGAGTGGGCGGTCCGCTTGATGTTA